ATTCTGTGAAAGCAATTTTTGTTAACTTGTGATGCACAGTGACTTTAGTTTTTGGAACAGAGAATTATTTATTTTTTCTTTAAATTTTTTAAAAAATGGAGAGACTTTAGTTCCTTGGATTATCACAATATGTCGACTATCATGATATATTAAGGTATATCTTGTTCTAATATATTGAACATATACCAAGATGGTCGTGTCGAGTGCCAAAGTTAATTGAGAATATCACCGAAGAAGAAGAAGAAGAATGGCGGCTATGGATGCCTTATTCTAATGTAATCATTTTGTTCAACCTCAAATCTATCTTGCCTTGAATAAATGACTAATTATCTTCAGCCTGCCAACATTTTAGAAGCCTCTTCTACATTTTAAAAGTGTTGACGGTGAAAATTTGTCAACAAATAATTAACGAATTTTGAGATAAATTAACGCAATTTGCAATGATATAAATACAAAAAAATAAAATTAAATGCAACAAAAATAAGAATACATGAAGATTTATAGTGGTTCACTCAGGAGAGAATTTCACTAATTTAAGAAGAGGTTACACATTTTTTTCCTTGGTGTGAGATTTTAGAGGATTTCTAGTCTATAATCCCATATTTATAATTTATGTCACAGCCCATACACCTTCCTTATTTGAATTTAGGATATATTTTTTTTAATTTTTTGAGATAGTTTCCCAAAAGATAGAGATTACAATTAATTAGTGTGGTTTCCATATTTAAATTTTATATTTAGAATACAAATCTTGACTTCTGGATCAAATCTTGCGGATTCATTGTCTTTCCGTATTCTCGACTTCGTAATAGCCTTGACTTTGTAAGAGTTGGGCGAAGCTCCTTCCCCCTAAGTGTAGCCTGAAGCCTCGTCTCCTTAAACACTTTTTGGAGCCTTGCGAAGCCTCGACTCCTTAAACATTTGGTCTTACAATGCCTCGACTCCTTAAATACTTTTTTGATCTTGAGAAGCCTCCACTCCCTAGGCACAGCTTGAAGTCTCATCCCCTTGAACATTCTTGAAGCTTCTTAAAGGGTCGATTTCCTGCCGTTATTACTTAATGTTGATGACGTGACACCAGGATTAAGTTATTCTTGTACTTTTAACGGGCTTCTTACTGACATTGGGATTTCTTAATAGGTCTCTATTTTTACCAACAACAAAAAGCCCACAAGTCGAGGCATTCTTATAGATTGCTTCGAGCTTTGATCAGAAAGATTCTCTTCTTTCTATCCTTAAACAATAACGCCTCTGTTATTGAATATGTTTCTTGAAAAATATAATAGTCCTCTCGATTATGTCACTTGTCAGGTTGGCTTAGCAAATCCAAAGATTAATTGAGAAAAAGAGAAAAAACAGAGAAACGCGGTTTTACAAGAGAAAAACAAAACCAAAGATGAAGATGTGTATTAATTGAGATGCATAAAGACTAGTTGACAAACATTAGACAAGACATTGGCAAATGAATAATGACAGATACCATTAAGATATAGCATACATCCATATGAAATAGCACTTTGCTCAAATTGATGGGAAGCAACTTTAGATTTCTCGGTTCGAATTTTAACTATTCAGAAGATGGGGATGATACCCATCACATGTATGCATTTTGGATCATTATGATCTTGTAAATTTGATTTTTTTTTTGTTAGAATAAATTTTCTAATAATTAATAACATAACAAAAAATCTTTTTTCTGATTTTGGGCTTCTATAATTGTTGTAGGTGCCATGAATGCTTTAATTCAAATAGAACATGATGTGGAGGACAATATAGAATGGTACATCATGAATCCCATATACGTGTTAAACTCAATAAATGAAGCGATATACATGATCAAGCCTAGTAATGTAGAATTTTTTTTTTTTTTTTTTTCATTTAATGTTTGAATTTTAGTAAATCACTTGAAATTTTGGCTCATGAATTTTGCTATTAACAAGAATGAAAGCATATTAAAATCAAATGCATCGAGGCAACAAAATTAGGGAAACATGTATATTTTTACAAGGACTCTTTTTACACTTGCAAGCTATAGGCACAAAATAATGGAAATATCAATACTGTAGAGTTCAGAAAAATTTGAAGAAAATATCAATATTGGTGAAGATAGTGGAAAAAATTATGAAAACCATGGAAGCTTGTTTTATAGCATTATGTTCTGTTTCATATATTTTGGGATGGGATAAACATTGAAATATACATTAATAAACAAGTTTTTATGAAACCCTCTAATTCATATTATAGCATTTTTAGATCATGCTAATATCAAATATAGTTTATAAGGCTCAAACATAATTGTGATTCATATTTATGCAATATTGGTGCCATGATCACCTATTGAGAATATGCCACATACAATTTATCAATCTGTTCATTTATATCTCCATAAATGAGAAACTATGAATTTTATCTTTGTATATGTTCCTCTAATAATATAGTGTCACGTCATATAAAATATCATGTCAATCAAAATTACATATGGACTCAACTAAAATGTCATGTCTATTAAAATAGTTTAATTTACATGGCATAATATTATTGAAAAGAATAAAAGAGGATATGAATGAGAGGATATATGACCCAATCTCAAACTCTCCTATAGTTTGCATGAGATTATGGTTTTGTGGTGATATGCTTCATGAGGATAACTGATCTATATCCGTCGTAGTTGCCAAAACAATAATTATATGGACAATAAAATGACAAACTCTCTCTTAAAAAAAAAGACCAAACTCTTTTTTATTTTTTTATTTTATCTAAAATAAGTAGAAAGCAACAAAGTGACAAAATTATCTTATTTTTCTAATTGAATGTTGAAAAGAACTCAGGTAAATTAATAATAGATTTTTTAAAAATTCCGAAAGGTTATATTATTGTTATTTCCAAAATTTAATGCAAAAAACACTCTAATTCCACCGGAATTGATATTTTTATCTATTTTTTTTATTATATTACTGAATCTTTTTGAAATTTTTCAGAAATTTTTTTACGCTTAAAAGATATTTTGATACCTAATGAATCTAAAAATTTCCATGCAAGTTTTGTATTTGTCCTTACAAATGAGAACTCTCTCTGAGTGTACATTTGGGAAAAATACCCAAAACACTCCAGGTATTTTGTAAAAATACCCTTTTCACACATTATTATGTAAATGCTCAAAACACATATTATATTTATAAAATAAATTTAAAACATCCCCTGAAGTAATTAATTTTTTTTAAAATGACTCAAAATACCTCCTGAAGTAATTAAATTTTTGAAAACGTCACGATTACCCTTCACAATTAAATGTTATTAGAAAGTTAAATAAAAAATTCAAAAATGCTCAAATAAGGATTACAATCAAAGACACTTTAATTATTTTGAAAATCTTTCTTTTTTTAAGATTGATTTTATTTTATATTTAGTCTAATAATGTTTTAAATTGTATTTAATAAAAATTATAAAGGGTAATTTTGGTATTTTAAATTTTTATTATTATTTTAAGGGGTATTGAAGTCTTTTTATAAATAAGAGAGTGTTTTGAATACTTTCATAATAAAAATGATGAAAGTGTTCGTTTGGTTTATGTATTTAGAATAATAATTTAGAACTATTCTCGTTTTACGTGTATTTTATGAAAAAAAATACTATAGAGAATCATGAATCATGATTCAAAATCATGAATGAATATAAAAAATAAACGTCCATATTTTAACAAAAACACATGTGGTGGTTTCAGTATTATCCCGTGTTTTTGTGCTTAGCTCAGTTGCTTGTTTAGTCATGGCCTCATGGGCACAAATGTCAATTTGCGTTCTTTCACAACTACAAATCATTCTCGTGGATGTTTTTCGTTCAAACGGACCCTAAATTAGAACTTCTATCTTTTTCGTTAAATTTGACCAGCCCTCTATTATATGTTATCTACCCCCCCTTTTTTTTTTCTTCTTCAAATCCTAATCATCCATTTGCTGATGAAAAAATGAACACAAAATAAGGGCAGGTGGGAACAAAATATTAGAAAAAAAAAGGAAAAATGAGTTTAAAGGAAAGAAATATGGCCAATGGGTTATTATTGTTTTGATATTTCTTTTTACATTCCGATTTTCCTTTTAAAGAAATCATTTTGGAAAGGGGAAAAAAAACTTGAGAATATAGCCAAGCATCCATAAAAGGCCACTAGGACAGAGAATGTACATTGCTAATTTCACCTACTCCCCACCCCCAAACCCAACTTGCTAATTTCACGATTTATTTATTTTTTTATTTTTAAGTCAGTCTCTCTTCAAAAGGAAAAATAAATGAATAGATTTTTTTTTTTTTTTTTGTTAAAAAGAAAAGACAACAGATTTCCCTTGATTTTACAGCTTTTTTTAAACCCTCTTTAGTAAACTTCCTTAAAACCGTTGGAAGTTGGAACCACAATAAAATCGGCATTTTCACCACCACCACCCTCGTACTCTGCCACACACAAATCCCATAATAAAGTCTTGTTACCAAAGAGAAAAAAGAAAAAGAAAAATCACTATATTAAAGTCATTAATAAATTTAAGGGAAAAAGAGGAGAAAAAAATTAATCACATTTCAATTTCCAACCATCACTTTTTCACTTCCCTTATTATACACACACCCACATTAATATCGATATAAAAAAGTGAATCAAAGAAATCAATCAAGAAAATCCCTTATAAAAGGAAGTAAATCAAGAAAATTATATTATTATTATTATCGCAGAAAGCTCTAGTGGATTTGGGCTTAGCTGGAAAAAGCGAGATTACCGGAGGTCAAACCTCCCTAAAAATGAAAAATTCCCGTTTCCTTCGGCCATGGGTAATAAAAACCGGCACCGAGTCACCGCCCCACTCTGACTCACTGAGTCATATCGCTGCCGTATCGACCTCTTTCTTTCTTTGTTTTTTTTTTAATTTAATTTAATTTTTCTCAACTAACCCTTTCCCCCTTCAACTTTCCATAATCGTCAGAGCCTTATAACCATTAAAAACAAAAAAAAAAAACTCTCTCTCTCTCTCTAAAAAGTAAGAGAGAGAGAGAGGGTGATAGCCAAAGCAGCTCTTGGTCAGACCTTTTTTTTTTGTTTTTTATATACAAATAATTTGTTCAACAATAAAAGGAGCCCATTTTCTTTTTCGGCTTAAAATTTTTAATTTTTCTCTTTTGTCAACAGAAGAAACAGAAGAAGAAAAGCATTTAGAGGGCGACAGAAAAGTAGTTGCGGAGAGAAAGATTTAAAAAAAAAGAAGAAAAAAAGAAAGAAAAGAAAAGAAGAGAAAGCCGAAGAAAGTGAATACAGATTTGCTGCACACGACCTGTTCGAAGAAGGAATAAAAAAAAAAAAAAAAAAAAAAAAAAAAAAAAAAAGATAGAAAAATCAAACTCAAAAAGCTTGTCAAAATCAAGGTAAGAGCTTCCCCGTTACCTCCTTCACTTTTTCTAGAGAGAGAAACTCAAACAACACTTCTAGAGAGAGAAGGAAGAACAGAACACAACACAACACATTGTTGTAACATTATTGTTACACTCGAAAACGAAAACACATGTATTTTCGTAGCAGCTTACGTACTTGATGGATCTCCATAACCATGGTGGATCAGCGCAGTAGCAGAGTATTGCCCTTCTTCTTCTTCTTCTTCTTGTTCTACTTCTTCGTCTTGTTGGGGCCCACATTTGAGCAGCAACTGAGTTCGCAGCTCGAGTTCAGGGCCCTGTTCGAACTCAGATCGTCGTTGGGACTCCGAGGCAAAGAGTGGCCGAGGAAAACCGACCCTTGCCTCTGGAACGGCGTCGTTTGCGAGGATGGAAGAGTCGTTTCGCTTAACATCTCTGGGTTTAGGAGAACCCGTCTGGGTCGCCAAAACCCTCAATTCTCCGTCAATGGCTTGGCCAATTTGACCCTTTTGCGGTCTTTCAACGCCTCCAATTTCCTCCTTCCCGGCACGATTCCCGAATGGTTCGGTCATAGATTGAACTCTCTTCGAGTTCTTGATCTTCGTTCTTGTTCTATTTATGGGTCTCTTCCTTATAGCCTCGGCAATTTGACGAATCTCACCGGTTTGTATCTTTCTAGAAATAATCTCTCTGGATCTATTCCTTCTTCTTTCACCAATCTCAAGAATCTTTCGTTTTTTGACTTGTCGTCGAATTTCTTGTCCGGTTCGATTCCGCTCGAGATTGGGACATTGTCAAGGCTTCAAGCTTTGAACCTCTCAAGCAATAACTTGTCCGGTTCGATTCCTGCTATACTTGGGGACCTTGGAGCACTGGCTGACCTTGATCTTAGCTTCAATTCGTTTTCGGGTTCGGTGCCGCCGGAGTTGCGTGGTCTGCGGAGCTTGAAAAAATTGTTGATTGGGAACAATTTGCTTTCTGGGTCTTTGCCTGACAATTTGTTTAGCAATCCAAGTAGTTTGGAGACCATAGTTCTTAACCGTAATAGCTTCAATGGTGGAATTCCTAGCGTGGTTTGGTCTGCACCCGGATTGCGGTTTCTCGACGTCTCCGGGAATAACTTCACCGGTCAGCTGCCTAATTCCAGCTTGAGTGATAATGCCACTGTTGATAGAGTGCTCAATATGTCCGGGAATTTGTTTTACGGCGGTCTGTCGACGGTGCTTAGACAGTTCGGTTCCGTTGATCTGTCCGGAAACTATTTCCAGGGTGGGGTTCCGGATTACGTTGTAGTCAATGCGTCTCTTGACAGTAACTGCCTACAGAATTTGAGAAACCAAAGGAATCTTTCGGATTGCGAATCGTTCTATGCCGAGAGGGGTCAAAATTTTGATGCACCGAGTCCTGCTCCCTCTCCTGCGGCGGAGAGGGAGACTTCTAAGAAGAGCAATAGGAGGACGATCATTTTGGCTGCGGTTCTTGGCGGGGTTGGTCTTATTTTGCTTTTGGCTATATTGCTGGTTTTAGTCCTTGTATGTCTCCGAAAGAGAGGTGATACAACACAAAGAGGAGTTGGTGTTGGGCCTGTTCCCGGCAGTAGCAGCCCCCCTCCCGCGGCAACCATTAACTATTCGAGCGTAGGAGATGCGTTTACATATCTGCAGCTGCTCCAGGCCACAAGTGACTTTAGTGACGCAAACCTCATAAAGAATGGTCACTCGGGAGATCTCTTCCGTGGCGTGCTGGAAAGTGGAATACCTGTAGTCATCAAAAGGATCGATTTGCGCTCGGTTAAGAAGGAAGCGCACCTTGTGGAGTTGGATTTCTTTGGTAAAGCTTCACACACGAGATTTGTACCCTTTTTGGGACATTGCTTAGAGAATGACAACGAGAAATTCTTAGTTTACAAATACATGCCGAATGGGGACTTATCAAGTTCCTTATACAAGAAAAACAACACAGAGGACGACAGTTTACAGTCGTTGGATTGGATCACAAGACTGAAAATTGCGTTAGGAGCGGCGGAGGGTCTTTCTTATCTGCATCATGAATGCAATCCGCCACTCGTGCATAGGTATCTTTAAACTTGCATCTTTTTGTTGCCTTCTGTTTTCCGCAGTGTCAGCTTTTTTGTTAAATTTCCTACTCGCTGAATTAATACAAGAAAGTCATAAATCTTAGACTCTTAGGCAAACTTTTCTTTATGATTTGTACTTCATTTTTTTTACCTGGTCTGTGCAACTCTTTCTAATGCCCTGCTGCCTTAATTTCTGCTATGATAAGGATTTAGCTTTAGGATTTGACTTTTATCTGTTGAAAATTTCCAGCCAATTGTAGAGCTGTAAACCTTATATTATAACTATATGAAACTTGATTTTCACCGTAATTCCTTTCTGATTTACAGTTGATATAAAGTAAAACAAATGAGCTTGAACATTGTTACTATTACAGCGTTTGTATCAATATTTTATTCATTATGGGATTTGGTTCTCCATGGAGAAGTGCATAATTACAATATTACTCTCAAGTATGTCCATGTTTAGCATATTTATGTATATTCTCTAATGCTATATATCGTACAGCAAGTTGTAACATAGTTGTAATTTTGTGTCATTGAAGAGATGTGCAAGCAAGCAGTATACTTCTTGATGATAAATTTGAAGTGCGGCTAGGGAGCCTGAGTGAGTTCTGCACTCAAGAAGGGGACATTCATCAGAGCAAGATTACGAGGTTACTGCGTTTGCCACAGTAAGTTTATGTATTCATATGTTTGAATATTCAGTTGATAATTTTACCAATTAACAATTTTATATTACATCATTTTGGGTGGACAACTCGTCCTCGCCTGTACTTCATTTTTCTGTTTGATTTTAGGAGTCTTATTTATTTATTTATTTTTTTTTCAGAAAATAGACAAAAAAAAAAAAAAAAAATCATTTTAGACACAGGTTATATCCAGTTACTCGTTAAGCTGCTATTCCAATTGTTTTTGCATGTTTTAGATTTATAGAGTCAAGCCTTTTTTTTATTTACTTTTTTAATTTTTGACTTTTCCCTCGCTATATCTGAATTCCTTTGCTTCCATTTTCATCGTTTACTCAATGAAACAATGATGTGAAAAGTAGATGCTACGATGCTTACAAGTTACAATGTCAAGTGCTAAAGTCGCTGGTACTTGCACCAATCAAGAAACTTTAAGTTTTTGTAATGTTTATCAATATTGTTAGCTGACAATTAGACATTTCTTGTTTAGCTATAATTGTAAATTTTTCTGATGCGTTTACAGTTCAGAGCAAGGTTAATTTCTATGACTTATTTTAAGACTATTTCCCGAATCAATCTTTACCTTTTGTTACCTTATACTTGCTCGTTGTCTTATTCAAGTTCTCTTTGCAATGCAGGTCTTCTGAGCAAGGTGCTTCTGGTACGTACTAATTTAATGGTTCAAAATATTTCTCATAATTTTTATTTTATTTTCTTCTCCTGTTTATTTTTTGAATGTATAAATAGACACAACATATGTGCCGCTCAGAGTTTTTGACCTCTAGCTTTAGGATATTCTTTTTGACTCAATTGACCATTAAGCAATCTCGTATCGAGTAGCATATTAAGCATTGTTTTCAGTAAATTTTTCCTAGCCATAATTTTTGACAAAAAAATGAAAAAAAAAAAAAAATTAATGGGAGACACTTGGTTAACTATGGAATCATGATGTTTCATATTTCACTTGCATTCTGAATTGGGAAAGGTATAGAATGTCAAATTTTCTATCACTCCCAGTGTTCTTCGTGATTGACTCAGTACTTGATTAAAGTTACTGTCTGGGGTTGGGGATTGTTGAATTGAATAGGTGGCAGTGGTGTTAGTTGGATTGTCTGACTTTTATTGATTTGAATAATCCTCCCCTCTAGTAAAGATCAACTATTTTATGTAGTTTCTATGGAAATGTTACTGCCGTTGGACTCAAGGATGTTTGTATTTACGCATTTACTTGGATGTTTGAGGAAAATTAGCGAGGCTGGATCATATTTGAAATCTTTTAGAAACCGACCGTAGTTATGGTTTGAAAGTTGGTTAAAATTTCAAGCATATGAAGCCAAACTAATATTTGAAAGCACGGAACAATGAAAACTGTTGATATTCCCTGTAGGATAGTTAGTCTTCAAATTGTATTGTTAGTTTGGGTAGTCACTTTTCTCGTAGGCGGTCTAAATCAGCCACTAAGGCCGATAGTTTAGTACATGTCTGGCACATTGCAATGGAACTCTGAAACAACAAATGGGGTTTTCCTTCAAATGGATATTGTGATTTGAGAAAATGATTAATACTGTATGAGCTTTCAGATAGTGACATGCTGACCAAATATTGGGTTGTTCCAGCTTATGCTTGTGCTGTTAAAAACTTTTGTTTTGCACTTGAATGGTTCTTTTCTAATATCGGGTTCTTTTAGTCACTATTATTCATCTGATAGGAGCTGGTTAGAAAAATCAAGAGATGTTTAGAAACTTAAAGTCATGACTTCACCATTTAGTCGGTTGAATCTATTTTCATGTAACATGGGTTCTACGCAAAATGAGTTTTTCTCCTGAAAGATTATGTTTCTCCAAAACTGGCAGGTACACCCACTGCAGTATGTGCATACGATGTTTATTGCTTCGGAAAGGTCTTACTTGAGTTGGTGACGGGTAAACTTGGCATCAGTGCTTCAAGTGACGCCCAAGCAAAGGAATGGTTAGATCAAACAGTACCATACATCAGTATATATGACAAGGAACTTGTTACAAAAATAGTGGATCCATCCTTGATTGTGGACGATGACTTACTGGAGGAAGTATGGGCCATGGCCGTGGTTGCCCGGTCCTGTCTAAATCCGAAGCCCTCAAGGCGACCCCCAATGAGATACATTCTCAAGGCTCTGGAAAACCCTTTAAAGGTGGTAAGAGAAGAGAATTCAGGCTCTGCGAGGCTCAGAACAACCTCCTCTAGAGGGTCTTGGAATGCTGCTTTGTTCGGTAGCTGGCGTAGCTCATCTGACATAACAGTCATTCCAGCAGTTTCCTCAACCAAAGTGGAGGGTGGGAGTGGCTTAAAACATTCGGGAACGACGGGTTCACAGGGAAGTGGGCAGAATGGAGGAGGGGGTGAACATTCGTCCTCGTACAGACGGCATTCTAGGGAGATATTCCCCGAACCATCTAGCGTACAAGATGTAGAAAGACCGGATCAGGACTAGCTAAGACATGTTAAAATTGTTCTTGATTCTTTTGTCAATAATACAACAGGCTTTCCTAATTTGAGTGCCTGTTTGTGGTACCCCCAGCTTGCTTTTCTTCTCGATTTTGAAGTCAAGATGATGTTTTCAAGCCATTTTTTGTGTTGCAAAAGGCACACATCTTCTCTGGCAGGGAAGGAGTGAAAGTAGCATCAGAAGATTATTTGACTCCAGAAAATCTGTACAAGTTTTGTTTGATGGTGATGAATCTGGGAAGAAAATTTGGGAGCAGAGAAGGTTCAGGGGTGCCACTGGCGGATATGGTTCTTATTTGTTTGCCGGCTTGTTTATGGCATAAACAGGCTACAATTTTTATGCAATTAATTTCTCTCTGTTCTTTTTTTTTTTGTTTTGTTTTGTTTTTTTTTTACGTTTTTTTTTTCTTTGGGGTTTTGCTTAGTTTCTGATCCTCTTGTGGAATGTAAATTGTAATTGTTAAAGATCCCTTAATTCAAAATCAGATTTCACATTTTGGTCCACCAAGAAGAGGAAATGTTAGCGGTTACTAGGAGAATCACTGTAATGAGGGCTTGTGTTTAACTTCCACATCTAATCCCATTCCTTCAAGCTCGGGAGTACTGTTCACACAAATTCAATTTACTGTTCCTGCTACAGTGAAATGATGCTTTTACCCTCCATTTATTGTTCTCTTCTTCTTCTTCTAGTGCAAGGCGTTTTGGTCTTTCAGTGGCTTCTTTGGTTTTGCGTTTTGGTAATTTCGCAGCCCCTGCAACTCTTAGGTTGTGTTTGGAGTTATTTTTGTTTTTCACGTTTTTTGAGAAAAAAAAGAGAGAAACGACGTTTGACACAATTAAAGACAAAAAACAAAAATGAAAACGATTTTTTAGTTTAGTGTAAAATGGGAGAATTCCGTTTTCTCCTCTCTCGAGTAGAGGGAGAGAGAAAGACATTAATATATTTTTTATACTGAAAATAATCTCTTCATAAAACTACCAAACGCATTTTTAAAAATAATTTCTATCTAAAATTAAAAATATTTTCATTTTTATTTTCATACAAAAAAATAAAATTATTTTAAAATGAGTTCCGAACACACCCTTATTTTCTTTTCCCCCTCGATTCTCTCATCTTCTCCGCCCCCTTCATTTGGTTTTGCCCTTATTCTTTGCTTTCCCCCGTTTATGGTGATGGGCTTTTAGGTCCTTTTATTGTTTGGCCTGCCTCTGTGCCCTTTTGCCCTTGGATTTCTCTCCATTTTGCCGCTTCTTCTCCGTTGTTTCCTTCGTTTTGTTCTTGTTCTTTCCCTTTCTTTCTTTTCCGTTTTGCCTTTGATTCGTTCCTTCACTTTTGTTTTGCTGCAGATCTCACATTCGTTGCTTTGTGCCTCGTCTTTGCGGATTGTTCGTTGTGATCTTGGTGGAAATCTTGCTAGTTTATCCCTTTTCTCTTTTGGATTCCTTTAGTGGTTGGATTTGGGATTTTTTCCCGCTTTATGTTGTTCTCATCGCCACGGACTCGCTGATTCTTTTTTTCTTGTTTTTGTGTTGGATTCAACGGCCATTTTGGTTTTAGTTTTTATGTGTTCATTTCATAGTTTTTCTTTTCCTTCATTGCCCATTGTTTTGCTTCCTTCACGTCTCTCTCTATTTTTTTTGTCTTTCTTCGCTTTTTTGTATAATTTTTTGGCGATTCATATGCATTGTAATTTTCTGTTGAGTAATAGCTTTGATTGTGTAATGATACTTTTAAAAAAAATTTTGTTCTCTGATTTTTTTTTTTTTGTGTGTGTGTGTGCAGGATTTGCTGATTCCCTCTTTCATTGCATGCCACATGTGTAAATCTTCATTTCTCTGCCTCTGATTTATTCAATCACTGTTCTATCTTTTTTATTTCATGCAGTTTTTTTCTTGCCCGATTTTTTCATTTCCGCCGTTGCTTGCCTACCGCATGTATCTTAATCCTGATTCTTTGGCGTTTAATTTATTAAATTGCTGAGTTGTGGTGTTTCTAACTTTCTATTGCTCATTTGTATTGCCAGCACATAATTTGTACATATTTTACGGCAAATGTATTAAATGCGTAGGCCAGTCTTCCTTCTTTGACTGTCTGAAATAGGTTGAAATCTTACGGAGAAAAAGTTTTCCTCATTTTTCATCCTTTTTCCTTTTACTGTTTTGTTTAATTCTTTCTCTCTATTATATAATTATTGTTGCAGGTAGTTGCATTTTTATTTTTACCTTCATTTTTCCTTCTTTTATTCTAAATACAATATTGTTTTTATGATCAGTTAATATAGAAGTTTTCAGTTCCTTAGCTTTTGTTAACCGACAATGCTTTACCACGTGTTATGTGATTAGAGGCTATTTACTGTTGATTTTATCTTCTTCGTTCTTTGCTTTTATGTGCTGTTATTCTACAACAATTTGTTACTGGTATTCTTACTTTTTTTCCTTACCATTGACGTTTCTCTCTTTCTATCTCACCTATACTTATTTACTACTTTAGTTAGTTGTTGATCATTTACTGCTCTATTTTTTCACTTGACACTTTGCCCTTTGTATCTTACCTGTCCTCCTTTATTGCTCGAGCCTGTTGTGGATCATTTAGTGCTTTATTTTTTCATCCTTCTATCTTTTACTACTTGTGTTGGCTCCTGATTGTTCATATCTCATACTAACAACAACGTTACAACGCTTCAGGTATTCCTAATAACTTTTACCTCTAATCTTTTAATAGTTTTAATGGAGTTCAAAATATTACCTTCCTATCCTGCTATTAATCTGCCGGCTTTGTTTTGTTGTTTCTATTGATGTATAACTTTATCAGTTTATGAATGAGCGTTGCTGCTCTAAAAAATTGGTCAAAAATTCCCCTTTATAGCAAATAAACAAAGATGCCCTTTTATTGTTAATCCATGTTATTGACATATCGTTATTCCTTTCTTTTGCTTCTCTGTCTACAACTGTCGTATGGTTCTTAGTTATTAGATCCAAAATTCTTCATTTTTTGGTCATAATTTCACCTCACGTATTTTATTTTTACTTGCTCCTTTTTATATGCTCTCTTCCTCTCTTTTTCCCCCTTTAATGGCAATGATGAGCATAAATAATTTTAATCCATTGAGTGTTGTATGATTTATCTAAAAATTGCTGTGAGGCTAGTTTACTACTTTTGCGTTTTTATTTCTTATTTATTGATGCTCATACTCTATATAAATTTCTCATATGTATTTCTCACTTTTTCTCTTGTGCTTGATGTTTTTCTTCTTGTATCTCACCGGTGATCATTTACTACTTGAGTCAATTTCCAACCATTAGTCTTTTGCTTTTGTACTACTCTATTTTTGACCACCCATGTTCACCTGTAATTGGTTGCTATCCCACACTTACACCAGTGTTACAGTGCTCCAGCTATTCTTAATAACTTCCATTAATGCCTTTTAAATGCTTCTTACTGATATTCAATATATTATGTTGCCGTGCTGTTATTAATGTCTCGATTTTGTTTTATTATTTTTGTTCCAATGTGATTTTACTGTTCTATAAATGCATCCTGCCGGTTTATAGGATTGGTGAGCATTTCTTTTCACAGTTAATAAATGTTGCTAAAATCTCGGTCTAACCACAGTATTCATGACTGTTCTATTGATAAATCTTGCAATTTGTCACTTTTTATGAGCAAGATAATTACACTAATATGTTTATCTCATATCCTTTATGTATACTTAGTCTTCTTATTTTTTCGTTCCTTTGTTTAATGGCGATGATGATCAGAATTAAAGTCTCATACTTTGAGTTCTATATGATTTTTCCAGAGATTGCTGTTAATATAGTTTCTTTGTTTTCGACATTACCACCTTCCGAAGGCTAAGTCCTCCTTTTCCCATTCTGTTTTTATACTCTGCAAACTCCTCATTTTTACTTGATTTCAAATCTTCCTATCTCTAGCTTCAATATTTGAATGGACTGCAAGGGACATTTGCTTATCTGTATAATATAGTTCTTTTTGTCTTATTTTTTCCCGTTCTCCGCCCTTTAGCTTCAATAGCATTAGGTCCACCCTTTAGCTTCAATAGCATTAGGTCTTTACAGTAAAACTTATTTACATGTATCATATATTGGTTTTTGTCATTCCCTTTATTTTTTTTTTTTTACCTTCTTAAGTTTCAAGCATTGACGTACACATTTGTAGCTCTTATTGCTGTAGATTCTATAATGCAATCACTGTGTTGTTCTTCCTCTCTTTCTCAAGACAATGTTTTTCATCCTCTTTAAATAAGTGCGGAACCAGCCTCTATTCTCTTTTCAATCTTCTTATCTTCTTCCATCTCCTCAATTCTCTATTCTTCTTTTTTTGGTTTTTAATCTCATCCTATTCTCTTAATTGGTCTCTGCTTTGCTATTGTTTTTTACATATCAAATAAAATCAAAGCTTTTTGCCCCTTCTTTTAATTCACCTGTTAGCCTTTGGATAAATTCATGTTTTACTCCAGTCACTCATTTTTTGTGACATATACTTTATAATTTGTGCGATGAATATAGTAACTTATTGATTTTTGTGTTTTTGTGTAGTTGCCCTTAGTTGGTAGCCACAAAAAGTGCAGTTGCCCTTAGTAGGTAGCCACAAAAACACTGTAGATACATAAGTTTGCTTATTCATTACATATTACTGAGAATATTAAATATCTGAGCCATAATTGCTACATCAAAACACTGTGATATCTATGTTTTGTTACAGTTTTTGATTTTTATACTTGGCATTTGATTTGTTTCTGCCTTACTCATATAATACATTCTGTTTACCTTTCTATTTTGATGCACCCGGTGGATCATGCATAAATCTATATCTTGCTTTGCTCATTTAGTTTCTATGATATACAAGTTATAATCTATATGATAAACTCGATTTCTTACTACTATTTCCATTTCCTTGCGCTTTCCCTTAGCACGTGGCAACATAAATGCTTGAAATGATTGCCTTTACGTTTTTACCGCACATCACTGAAAGGATTGATTACCTAAATTACTAAGTAAAAATACTCCCATGTTGATGTTTTACTAGATATTGTTTTAATTTTTCTCCTCACATGCTGTATCTGCACTTTCCTTAATTTCCTTCTTATGCTCTGCCTTACTCTCTCTATTTTTTCTTTTACTTGCAATTAGTTTGCTTATTCTCAGTCTTCATCTATCCCTTTCTCTTATTACTTATTCACTTAGTTATATTTTTCCAAATTTTCTATCACACACTATTGGGTCTTTTCATTGCCATATTCTTCGTTGTTCCCTACCTTTCATTGGCTAATATTTGGTGTTTGCAGTAGCATTTGAAGCATTTTAGGTAATATTTAGAACTTTTAGCGATAGGCTCTGATTACGCCCAAACGTGTACAAAACAAGCGGTCAATTGTAGCACAATTAGGACGGCCGATCCCACGAGGAAGTGACAAATTGAACAAGAAACGATTAGCAAATAAAAAACGTTAGGAGATAAATAATAAAGTAAAAATAAAAGAGAATGAAAATTTTTTTGAGAAGTTTAAGAGTAAGAAAAATGTATGAGAAAATTATATAATTAAAACCGGTAAGGCGTTGAGATTCCCCTATATGTTTCGTTCACCCA